GTTGTTCAGTTCCCACCTATGAGTGAGAACATGCGGTGTTTGGTTTTCTGTTCTTGTGATAGTTTGCTAAGAATGATGGTTTCCAGCTGCATCCATGTCCCTACAAAGGACACAAACTCATCCTTTTTTATGGCTGCATAGTATTCCATGGTGTATATGTGCCACATTTTCTTAATCCAGTCTGTCACTGATGGACATTTGGGTTGATTCCAAGTCTTTGCTATTGTGAATAGTGCCGCAATAAACATACGTGTGCATGTGTCTTTATAGCAGCATGATTTAGAATCCTTTGGGTATATACCCAGTAATGGGATGGCTGGGTCATATGGTACATCTAGTTCTAGATCCTTGAGGAATCGCCATACTGTTTTCCATAATGGTTGAACTAGTTTACAATCCCACCAACAGTGTAAAAGTGTTCCTATTTCTCCACATCCTCTCCAGCACCTGTTGTTTCCTGACTTTTGAATGATCGCCATTCTAACTGGTGTGAGATGGTATCTCATTGTGGTTTTGATTTGCATTTCTCTGATGGCCAGTGATGATGAGCATTTTTTCATGTGTCTGTTGGCTGTATGAATGTCTTCTTTTGAGAAATGTCTGTTCATATCCTTTGCCCACTTTTTGATGGGGTTGTTTTTTTTCTTGTAAATTTGTTTGAGTTCTTTGTAGGTTCTGGATATTAGCCCTTTGTCAGATGAGTAGATTGCAAAAATTTTCTCCCATTCTGTAGGTTGCCTGTTCACTCTGATGGTAGTTTCTTTTGCTGTGCAGAAGCTCTTTAGTTTAATGAGATCCCATTTGTCAATTTTGGCTTTTGCTGCCATTGCTTTTGGTGTTTTAGACATGAAGTCTTTGCCCATGCCTATGTCCTGAATGGTACTACCTAGGTTTTCCTCTAGGGTTTTTATGGTATTAGGTCTAACATTTAAGTCTCTAATCCATCTTGAATTAATTGTCGTATAAGGAGTAAGGAAAGGATCCAGTTTCAGCTTTCTGCTTATGGCTAGCCAATTTTCCCAGCACCATTTATTAAATAGGGAATCCTTTCCCCATTTCTTGTTTCTCTCAGGTTTGTCAAAGATCAGATGGCTGTAGATGTGTGGTATCATTTCTGAGGACTCTGTTCTGTTCCATTGGTCTATATCTCTGTTTTGGTACCAGTACCATGCTGTTTTGGTTACTGTAGCCTTGTAGTATAGTTTGAAACTATCCTCTCATTTTTCAAGCAGAGATATAAATAATAACCACACCAAAGGGTTAAGCATTAAATGAGACAACTGATGGTCTGGACTGGGCATCTTAGAAATTATTGCCTATGGCTATATGGGTAACCTCACCATGTACCAACTGAAAAATGCTACTTGTGTTGGCTAAACACAGCTTTCTATTGAGAATTTTGCACTCAGCTCAATTCCTGTGAAAAGTAACCTCCCAATCCTACAAGCTCAGGCTGGACTGAGTTTCAGGCTTTATCTACATCAGCCACAGAGATAGAGAATGTCAGAGCCCCAGGGCTTTTCAATCTAACTCATTTGCACCATGTTCTGAGTTATAAGTAACAGAAATTAAACTCAATACAACTTAAACAATAAACAGAATTTATTAGCTCATATAACAAAAAAAGTTCAGAGGTAAGGCCAACCTCAAGCAAGGCTTGATCCTGTACTTAAACAATTTCACCAAGGACTTGTTTCTTTCTGCCTCTTGACTCTCCCTTCTGTGGTATCAGCTTCATGTGGCTCCTGGTCATGATCCCAAGGCCCAAGGTGGTCATCATAAAGACCCAGGAATATTACTACCTTTTTCACATTCAACAGGGGAATTAAAACAGCTTCTACCCAGCCTTCCCCAAAGTCTTGAAATTCCCTCTGGCTTCATCGCCTTAACTCACAAGATCATACCAACCCAGTCACCATAGCTGGAAAGATGGAAGGTGTCATTGGCTTAGTCCAGGACATGTATTCCACCCCTGGAGAGGCTCTGGCAGATCATATGAATCCCCAAACAGAAACGGGGGGTTGCTGGGAAAGGAAATGGGGCAATGAATGTGGATGGAACCAGCAAGACCTACCACTTCCCCCATTTTATGAATGGGAAATTGAGACTGGAGATGGGAAAAGTCTTGTCCAAGATGGCAGATAAGAGCTGGGACTACAACCTGGCCCTTCAGTCTGACGACTCTACATTATTTCCACTCCACTTTACCCCCACCTTGTTCAGACCAACTCACCCAATATTGAGTGGTGATAAATAGGAGGTCAGATAAATCAATTTCTCTCTATAGTGAAATGAACCCCTTTAGAGTCATCACATTTCAGATACCTCCAGTGGGTTTCCAAACAAGTCAGCAGAAAACAAACCTGTGTCCCAAGAATTCTTGCAGTGATAAAATCAACCTCGGCTCTTCTCCTCTCCTCTTGGGGACCCCTAAGAGCCAAGTGGCTATTGCTACTTTTAAGGGGAAGATGCATTCTGCTATGCAAACATGATCACATATTCATGCGCTCAAAATCTAATTTTAGCTGCAAGAGACCTCATTATAAGATGTTCACATAATTAAGCAGCTTTCTTCTCAGGGTTTGGAAGTCTGTCTATTCTTCTCTCTCATTTATACATCACTGGGATTACAAGAATGTGTTTTAGTTTTTTAAAATTACATATTTTGATTTTCCAAATTGATCCACAACAGGAGATGAAATCCATAAAAATTACATGTTTTAACACAGGTTTGTGTAACTCTGCAGCCTTGCTATTAAAGTTGGCATCTGTAAACAGTCAGGGTTTCTCTGTTCTATTCTAACCAGTTCCTGATGCATTTGCCACACTTCTGCCCTACATACAGATCAGCTTTTATTCCTTGGCTGATTGGGAGAGTGTCCTCTTTACTGAGAAGCTAAGAGCTGTAGATGAGACCTAACTTGGAGAAAAACAAATGGACTTTCCTGCAAGCACAGACAGATCCCTGTTCCTGTTTCTGATGAGATCTCCTACGTAGGCAGACCTGGGATGAAGGCTGTGAGGACCACCGCCAGCTGACGGGGCCTCTGCTCTCCCTTGCTCATCCAACATCTGGGAGCACCTGCCAAGGGCCAAGTGCCTTGCCATATGGAGTGACTCAACATAAACTGGATGAACCCTGACCCTGTCGTTCTACTTGCCTGCACTCTTCACTAAGGTACACAGTCATCTACAAGGCCACAGGAGCAGGTGACACTCTACCTGGAGGGAGATGACATCTCTGGGCACCTGGCAGCAGTCAATGTACCAACCCAGCTACCAGGAAAAGCCTGGTGCTGTTGCTGTCCCCAGACCCCGGCTCCAGTCCCAGTCACTCCTCTCTCCACACTTTACCCTTTCCAGCCTCCATGGCTTTCCCGCTGCCACGCCTGCCGTCGCTTTTGAGGATCTAGGTTCGCTCTGGGATGCAGGTCTGCCCTGGCTACCCCTCCCAGGGCAGTGTGGAAACTCCCAAGGGGTCTCAATTGCTCCGAACACTAGGGAGAAATAGCCCCATCAGGGGCCTTCGCGGATTAGATGCTGAAGCTATCCTGAGCCAATGAACATTTTCAAAGACCTTGGTGTTTCTAGCTTTGAACTGAACTGAGTTGATGCTATGGGAGGGTCAAGAACAGCTTTGCATCAATGTGGGTTTGGGGGAATCCCGGGAAGGATTTAGAGGCCACCAGGGGCACAGATGCCCAAACCCACCCACCGGCCAAACTGAAGGTTGGAGGAAGCTTCCATGTGGGGAAGGGCATCTCTCCTGGGCCCTCCACCCCCTACCTGTGCTCACGGCGGGTGGCTCTAGGTTCCTCGTCGTCAGGCTAGGGAGCAGAAGATCAGGACATCTCAATGTCCAGCTCTCCCAAATCCCTCACCCTGCCTTCTCCTCCCAATGCAGCTTCGCTCAGGCTGAGGGGAGGTCTCCCTGACAGCTGACCCAGAGCAGGACCATGGGGCCCAGCCAGGGTTATCCTAGGCCTGGAGAAGCCACTGAGGGGCTTCCTGAGGTCAGGCCCACCCACCTTCCCCATCTTCACAGGGGCCAGTGTGCAACCGGATTGCCACAATCCTCCCTGTATCTCAGCCAGCTTGAGCGTTGCTCCCGGGTTGCACCCCTACCCTCCACACTTGAACCTCCTGGCCTCCACAGCCTCACTTGTGAGCCCAAGATGTGTAGCATACGTTGACCCCCATCCCAGGCTGGCAGGGCCTGACCTAGGGGTCAGACTGAGTACTAACTGGCTCTCATGACCCCAGTGTGGGTCCCCAGAGAAAACAGGGTCCCTGTGGCTGGGGCATCAGTCCCAGTGATCTCCGAGACGCAGCCCTTACAATCTCCCCGTGCTAACTCCCAAAACCCATCTGCTGGTGTACAGGTCCCCAGGGCTCCTGGGCTCCCCTGGAACTTCAGCTCCTGCCCTCTCCCCCATGCCCCCATGCTTACACCTTGCTTCTGGGGCATGACTTGAATCTCCAGCTTCCCTGGGGATAGTTGGAGGAAGAAGCCAGGCAAGGAGGCCCCACGCCTGAAGCATGGGGTAGTGGGGGTTGAAGGGGGTGGAGGGCAGGGCACAGACTTAATGTGGCTGGTCTTGAGGTCAGTGTCTGTATTGGCTTGGGCGGGGTAGGGGGCAGTCCTCAACTCTGCCCATGGTGCGGCCAGCTCAGCCACAGAGAAAAGAGAGGCAAGGCTGCAGAGTTTGTGGTGCCCGTAGTCACACCACACATACATTTATGGGATGTCAGGCACACGGCCAGGGCCGCACAGCCCAGCAGCTAGTCTTGGCGCCCACCTCCATCCCAGTGGTCCTCGCCGCTCAGAGCGTAAATGCCCGCCCGGCCCAGCATCCCAGACTCAAACACCCTGAGGAGCAAGTCTACGCCGGGGTTAGACACAGGAAGCCCAGGGCCTCCTAGATCCCAGGGAGCGCATGTGTATCTGTGTGAGAGAGACAGCCAGCCAGCCTCCAGGAGCACGCGGCCTGGCACCTGTGTGTTACGTCTGTGTGTGGCTGCGTTTGTATCTGGGGGCGCCTAGCACACCCCACGTGGGTGGCTTCACTAAGACCGGGCCGTGAGCCTGGAGTGGTGTCTGAGTGTGTCTGAGGAGGTGTGGGTTGGTTGGTGGCCAGGTGTGTGTGTCCTTTTGTGTTTGCCTTGTGATGTGTGTCTGTCGTGTCCAGGTCTCCTTGTGCGGGAGGCAGCACCAGGGTGGGCCCCCCACCCACGAACGTCCCAGTGAGGCCACAGGCCTGAGCGTCAGAGTGGGGTGGGCAGCCCCGTGGTGAGATTGCGTCACTCAGCGGGGGCGGCGGCCTGGGCCGGGCCTATCATCTGGGCACATACTCCCTGGGAAGCCCGGTCCAGTTGTGGTCACGCAAAGCCTTGTCCACCGTCCGGATGTAGCCATTGATCAAGTCTTTCATCTCCGGGGTGAAAGGCTCAGGGTCGTGGGAGCGCCGGCCATGCCGCCGGAAGCTGCCCTCCTTGTTGTTCTCCACGCAGAGCAGCCGCTCCTCGCTCACAGACACGTTGAGGAAGGCCACCATCTCCCGCAGCGTGGGCACCAGGCTGCGCCGCAGCTCCTCGTAGTGCACCACCAGCAGCCGCTTCCCGTACTTGAGCCAGTCCAGGACGTGCGACGACCACCACGAGGCATAGCTGTTGACGAAGTCCGGCCACTCTAGAGTGAGGACAGGAGAGACGCAGAGTCAGGGGCTGGCCCTGCCGGGGCTGCCGGTCCTGCCGAGGCTGCTCGGGAGAGGGAACTGGGCAGGGTTTTCCACTGTCCGCTGCCTAGAGTCAACCTGGCATTCCCCATGGAGGAGGAGGACCCTTTGGTGGCCGAGCAGTGAGTCTGTGGTGGGCGGGGGCAGCTCTGGGCATCCTGGTGGGATGAGGACAATGTGCAGGCTCCATTTCCCATCCTAGGTCCTCCTAGAAAGCTAAGTCAGCGTGATGCCTGATGGGCACATACGTGTCTTGTGGTTTGATTGCCAGTTTGAACCTGTGAAACTGCCAGGCAGTAGGACATACAGTGAAGCCACAGGCAGGGGTGGCCTTGGACTTTTGCAGGTAACCTACTTTATGAGCTTTCTTTTCCAGAAAATTAAGAAATTAATTTTTGGGGAGGGGTGTGCAGGGTCCAAATATCAGAAATCATCTCAATAAAAAGTTTCCATAATTGGGCTATTAACACACCTCGAATGCTGTGTGAAGCGTTTGCTTTCTCTAATCTTCACAATGACCCTAGGAGACAGGGCCTATCCTTATTTTTAAGATGAGAAAACAGGCTCAGAAGACAAGGTAAGCAGCTTTCCTGGAGTTATACAGCTCACAAGAGGCAGAGGAGGCATCAGAGATCAGCCTGCCTGACTGTCAGGGGCTGTCTAGGTAGAGGATGATGGGGGAAGGGGAAGACTGGAGGCCAGGAGAGGCCACCTACTGGTTGATCCAGTGACAAGCAGAAAGGAGTGCAAACCTGCCTGGCCATGGGCCCCTGTGACTACCCCTCTCATCCCACCCTGCCTGGAGACTGCTTTGTTTCTGACCGACTTCATTTCTCATCACTTACCACCCAGACTCTATTCGTCACCACCCGAAGGCTCAGCTGTGTGTGTCTTGAGGGCAGAGACCCTGACCCCATTAGCCTGGGCTCCTGCTACCCTGTCCCATGCCTGGCACCCAGGAGGACTTCAGCAAGTACAAGTCAGAGGACTGATTCCATGAATAAAGCTGCAGTGGGGAAAAGGCCAATGTGACCCAGAATCAGATACTCTGGATGTTGGGGCACAAAAGGCTTCTATGCCCCCCAAATTCATGGAGTTCTAACCCACCATATCATGGTATTAGGGATGGGGGCTTTGGGAGGTGATTAGAGTCAGATGTGGTCATGAGGGTGGGGCCCTTGTGATGGAATTAGTGCCTTTATCAGAAGAGACACCAGAGAGCTTTTGGGGACATGTGAGGACACAGTGAGCAGCCATCTCCAAGCCTGGAGACAGCCCCCTCCTGGGAATGGAATTAGCCAGCACTTGGACCTTGGACTTCCCAGCCTCTAAGACTATGAGAAATAAATGTCTGTTGCTTAAGCACCACCCCCTTACCCCATCCCCCAGTGTTGTGGTGTTTTGTTACGGCAGCCAGAGCTGACTAAGACATTGGGTGTGAGTCCCAGCTCTGCTGCCCACCACCAAGACCAAGTCCCACAGCCGTGTTCTCTGGACTCATCTGGAATGTGGGCTGATGTGATTCCCCGACCAGACACTGAAGAGTCAGCGAGAGGCAGCTTAGGAGGGAATTAACATGCTGAGCTCTGACCAGAGACCAGGCAGGCACATCATCTCACTGCTCCCTGAATGCCCCACGAGGTGCAGGTCTTATTCTATAAAGGAGGAACCTGGTGCTGAACACAGAGGAAGGTGCAAAGCAGGGCCATATGCAGCCCATGTGCTCTTCTCCCAGCCCTGCATGAACTCCACTGCTCTTTGAATGCCCCATGAGGCACAGGTCTCATTTTATAAAGGAGAAACCTGGTGCCAAAGACACAGAAGGGTGCAAAGCAGGTCCATGTGCAGCCCACATGCTCTTCTCCCAGCCCTGCATGAGCTCCTGAGCAGAAGCAGAGATGCAAAGGGGGTGCATATCACCCTACTATGCACTCATAGAGGCAGAGAAGATTCTTGGTAATCAAGCTGGCATCTAAGTAAAATGCCTCGACATATGGACCTCAGCAGGCATGGGGGGCAAGGGGAGGAGGTGAGCTCAAGCCCAGGCAGAGGAGCACTAAGTCCCTAGCAGGATGGGGTTTGAGTGCCTACCTGTGTATACTGATCCTGCATCCTGCAGTGCCTACCTGTGTATACTGATCCTGCATCCTGCAGTGCCTACCTGTGTGTACTGATCCTGCATCCTGATGGGCATCCTGCCTGTACTGACAAGCCTCCCATCCCCACTGCAAGGTCTCTGATTACCTTTGCTCTTCCAGTTGCGGTCAGCTGCATACCCCAGGTGCCCAGCACATTTCCTGTTGAATTCCGCCACCAGGGACCTATATGGGTTCCGGATCAGCAGGATGGCTGAATCAAACATCTCTATCTCCCTCCTGCCACTCTCGTGGGTTTTGACACAGATGGTGCGTCGGCTCCGCCAATGGTCCTTTTCGCCCTTGAACCCTGCAGGGAAAAATGAGAGGGTCTTTGTGAAAGATGGTGTCCATGGAGCCCCCTACCACAGCAGCAGACGGGCTGGGGAAAGCTGGCATCAGGGGCATAAGAGAGGCCCCATGGAAGGCACAGAGGGCACTGAGAGGACCTATGGATGGTGACAGGAACAGCTTCCACAGGAGTGACCCTTTCCAAGGGGAAGTGACAACAGGAATTGTCTAACAGTGGGGAAAGATGGCATCTGCAGCAGAAATGAGATGAGGTATTCCCTGAAGACTTCCAGGAGTCAGGGGGCAGAGGACCTGTCATTACAGATGCACGCATATATTTTGGGCATCTTCATAGAGATAATTTTACGCAAGCATCACAGACAACCTTTGATTGAACCATAGCTGCAAACATAGCTGAATGAACAGACTGAGGCGCAGAGTGAGCAGAGAACTTGCCCAAGATCACACAGCACCATGAAAACAGCACCAGGGCTCTCTCCACATGCCACTGTGTGTCCCTGTGAGGCCCCCAGCTTCCTCTCACCTCCCCACCGTCGGGGCAGGATCCTGACTTACAGGTTCAATGGCTGTGAGCAGGTGTAGATCCACCTTCTGACCTGATGCCATGGTCCTATGACAGGGCCCAGCCTTGCCCCAGAGCAGGTCTGGTCAAAGCCTCATCCACAGTGCTTGAGCCTGGCCCTGAGGACCCAGGGCCGTTTCTATGAATGGAGACTTGTTCCCATTGATCAGCCTATCTGGGGCCCTCTCTTTCCTTGGTCCCTTACTATAGTACTGGGCACTCAGAACCTGAATGACTACTGGCAGAGAAGGCCAGACCCCACCCATTCATCCAGAGTCACACATTTATCAATGAAGGTTATTGCGTGTTTGCTGTGTTAGACTTTATTTTGGGGACAGAGGATTAAGACTCAGACCTTGTCTTTAAGTTTATGTTCTAGTAGAGGAAATAGCCTAAGTGCAGGCTATAGGGACTGGTGGAAACAAAGAGCAGGGGTTCTAAATAGTGGGATGTCCTAGAAGGCTTCCTGGGAAGAGGTCTCCTGAAACTAGTCTCCTGGCCACATCCCACGTAGCCCACACACCCAGCTCTGAGACATGTTCCATAAGTGCTCATGCGCTTATCTTGGGCTCTTGGAAACAAAAGGAGTCCTACCACCTGCCCCTCTGCAGGAATGGCTGGAAGGCATTTGTATCTGCAGTGAGCACTGAGGGATGCTTTGATGCCTGGAAAATGCAAGTCTCTTTTGAATCTGGAAGTCCGGGTTTACCCATTGAAACTCAACAAGCTTCAAACTCATCTCTGCCATAGGCCAAACACCAAAAGGCCTCGCTTTGATTCATTCTGTCAAACAGCTGGAAAATGCTATGAAAGGAAGAGTCAAACTGGAATGAATAAACTTGAGATCTGGTCTTTAACAACCCTGAGACCCAGGGTGCCTTCCATACTGCCTCGGCCTCTTCCAGCAACAGCTATTCTGCCTTGCAGCGCAGACCACATTCGACCTACCACAATAGATATGGCGGTTGGGCATTGGTGATGCTCTGTGAATTGTGCGTGTGTGTGTGTGTGTGTGTGTGTTATCACTCTGTCAGTGCTCTGAGGCCACTAGCTACATCTAATGGTGCTGTAAGGCTCAAAGATGTGTGTGAGGTATCTCTAAAGCATTTCTGAGGCAGTGTCAGCCCAACCTCTACAGCTGTCAATACCAGTCATTGGGCCACTTACCCTATGGAGACCAAAACAGCCAGCTGCTTGAATAAGGTAAGGGCCTTGGAGACGAACAAGGTGGGTAGCTTGGGCACAGTGGGTGAGTCCCAGGGGACTAAGCCAGAGTGGACGGGGCCATGTGCTCATGTGACCACTTCCTCCCTCACCCGCAGGCGCCTGTAACACTCGAGGCTCCCGGGGACGATGAGGCTGGGCTATATGGACAACGATAGCTTTTTCTCAGAACCAGGATTGTTATGAGTGATTCCAGAAGCCAATGCCAAGCTCAGGAAGTTTCTGTTTCTCTAGGACGTCACTGACAGCATCAACTTTCCTAAACCAAACTCTGGTTAAGAAATCCAGAGAAAATGGGCCGGGCGTGGTGGCTCACGCCTATAATCCCAGCACTTTAGGAGGGCAAGGCAGGCAGATCACTTGAGGTCAGGAATTTGAGACCAGCCTGGCCAACATGGTGAAACCCCCTGTCTCTATTAAAATACAAAAATTAGCTGGGCGCGGTGCTGGGTGCCTGCAGTTCTAGCTACTCAGGAGGCTGAGACAGGAGAACCACTTGAACCCGAGAGGCGGAGGTTGCAGCGAGTTGAGATCGTGCCACTGCACTCCATCCTGGGCGACAGAGTAAGAGCAAGCAAGAAAGAAATCCGGAGAAAATGTTGCAGTGCTTGACAACAGAGAAGCACATTTTAATAGATTTTGCCAAATTTTATGCCAATAGACTTGTCTGAGGTTTTTCATCCTTAAACAAAACACAGACTTCGTTTAACTTAATTTCTCTTATTTCTACAAGGGAAAGATTACAAATCAAAACTCTTAAAAGATTTTTGGACTTTTTTATTACATTCGATGAACTATTTCTTGCCTCAAAAAAGGAATGAGCAGATTAAATCAGTTGCACCCCTAATTATTGAGGGTTCTAAAAATTAACGAAAATTCAAGAAATGTTTATAGAGAGAATATTCAAGCTGCTAGTCTTTCCCTTTGAATCCAGAATAGGCATGATCTCATAAAGTTCCACGCTAAATGGGGTCCTAGGACTGTCTTCATCAGGACCACCTGGGAGCTTGTTAGAAATAAAAATTCCTAGGCCCCACCTCAGACCACCTGAATCAGACTGTCAGGGGTGTGGGCCAGGAACTGAAGTTTTAAAAAGCCCTCCAGGTGATTCTTTCTTTTACTTAAAAATATTTTTATTAAAAAAGAATGAGTTCATGTCCTTTGAAAGGACATGGATGAAGCTGGGAGCCATCATTCTCAGCAAACTAACACAGGAACAGAAAACCAAACACCGCATGTTCCACTCACAAGTGGGAATTGAACAATGAGGACACATGGACACAGGGAGGGGAACATCACACACCGGGGCCTGTCGGGGGTGTGGGACAAGGGGAGGGAGAGCATTAGGACAAATGCCTAATGCATGCAGGGCTTAAAACCTAGATGACGGGTTGATGGGTGTCGCCAACCACCATGGCACATGGATACCTATGTAACAAACCTGCACGTTCTGCACGTGTATCCCAGAACTTAAAGTAAAATAAAATAAAAATAAACACTTTTATTATTATTTTAAACAGACACGTGATAAATGTACGCCTTCTTTATGGGGTGCAATGTGATATTTCAATGCATGTATAAATTGTTTAATAATCAAATCAAAGTAATTAGGACATCCATCACCTCAAACATTTATCATTTCTTTGAGCTGGAAACATTCAAAATCCTCTCTTCTGGCTACCTGAAAACACACAATCAATTATTGTCAACTGTAGTCACCCTACAGTGCTATAAAACACTAGAACTTATTCCTCATATCTAGCTGTAATTTTGTATCCATTAACCAACCTCTGCCTATCCTGCCCTCCCTCCTACCCTTCCCAGCCTCTAGTAACCACTCTTCTACTCTCCATGTCAGTGAGATCAACTTTTTAAGCTTTGACATATGCATGAGAACATGTGGTATTTATCTTTCTGTGCCTGGCTTATTTCACTTAACACAATGTCCCTTAGGCTCATTCATGTTGCCGTGAATTAGAGCACTTAATTCTTTTTTTATGGCTAACTAGCCATTGTGTATATGTACCACATTTCAAAAATTCACCTATTGATGGATACTAAGGTTAATTCCATACCGTTGCTATTGTATATGGTGCTGCAATAAGCATGAGAGTACAGATATCTCTTCAACATACTGATTTCCTTTCCCTTGAATATATACCCAGCAGTGGGATTGCTGGATCACATATATGGCAATTATTTTGTTTTGTTTTTTTTTTTTGAGGAGCCTCCATACTGTTTTCCATAACAGCTGTACTAGTTTACATTCCTATCGGCTGTATATAAGAGTTCTCTTTTCTCCACATCCTCGCCAGCACTTGTTATTTTCTGTCTTTTTGATAGTAGCCATTCTAACTGGGGTGAGATGATATCTCATTGTGGTTTGGATTTGCATTTCCCTGGTAATGAGTGACACTGAGCATTTTTTCATGTACTGTTGACCATTTGTGTGTCTTCTTTTGATAAATGTCATATCATCTGTCAGTTTTTAAATCAGATGCTTTTGGTGTTTTTGTTGTTGAGTTCCTTATATATTCTGGTTATTAAGCCCTTGTTGGGTGAATAGTTTGCCAGTATTTTGTCCCATCCTGCAGGCTGTCTCTTCACTTGTTGATTGTTTCCTTTGTTGTGCAGAAGTTTTTCCATTTGACATCATCCCATATGTCTAATTTTGCTTTTGTTGTCCGTGCTTTTGAGGTCCTATCTCAAAAGCAAAAACATCTTTGCCCAGACCAATGTCCTGAAATATTCCCTGTTTTCTTCTAGTAGTTTAATAGATTTGGGTCTTATATTTAAGTAAGTCTTCATTTTGAGTTGATTTTTGCATAAGGAGAGAGATAGGGGTATAGCCTCAGTCTTCTGCATATGGTTATCCAGTCTTCCCAACACCATTTGTAATTTTTGCATAAGGAGAGAGAGATAGGGTATAGCCTCAGTCTTCTGCATATGGTTACTCAGTCTTCCCAACACCATTTGTACAGCCTCAGTCTTCTGCATATGGTTATCCAGTCTTCCCAAATACCATTTGTATAGCCTCAGTCTTTTGCATAATGTTATTCAGTCTTCCCAACACTATTTGTACAGCCTCAGTCTTCTGCATACGGTTATTCAGCTCCTCCCAACACCATTTGTACAGCCTCAGTCTTCTGTACACGGTTATTCAGTCTTCCCAATACTATTTGTACAGCCTCAGTCTTCTGCATATGGTTATCCAGTCTTCCCAACACCATTTGTACAGCCTCAGTCTTCTGCATACAGTTATTCAGTCTTCTCAACACCATTTGTATAGCCTCAGTCTTCTGCATATGGTTATCCAGTCTTCCCAACACTATTTGTACAGACTCAGTCTTCTGCATATGGTTATCCAGTCTTCCCAACACTATTTGTACAGACTCAGTCTTCTGCATATGGTTATCCAGTCTTCTCAACACCATTTATTGAAGAGACTGTCCTTTTCCAAATGTATGTTCTTGGCTTCTCTGTCAAAAATGAGTTGGCTGTAAGTGCATGGATTTATTTCTGGGTTCTCTATTTTGTTCCATGGGTCTATCCGTCTGTTTTTATAGCAGTACCATGCTGTTTTTTGTCACTAAAGCTTTGTAACATATTTTCAAGTCAGCAGTGTGATGCCTCCAGCTTTGTTCTTTTTGCTCAGAGTTGCCTTGGCTATTTAGGGTCTTTTGCGGTTCCATACAAATTTTAGAATTGTTTCTTTCTGTTTCTGTGAAGAATGCCATTGGTATTTTGATAGGGATTATATTGGATCTGTTGATTGCTTTTGCTAGTGTGGTCATTTTCCCAATATTAATTCTTCCAATCCATAAATATGGGATGTCTTTCCATTTTTTGTGTGTCCTCTTCAATTTCTTAAGTGTTGTAGAGTTTTCTTTGCAGAGGTCTTTCATCTCTTTTATTAAATTTATTCATAGGTATTTTTTCATAGCTATTTAAATGGCACTGCTTTCTTGATTTCTTTTTCAGTAGTTCACGATTGGTATATGGAAATGCTACTGATTTTTGCATGTTGATTTTGTACCCTGTAACTTTACTGAATTCATTTATTGGTTCTAAGGGTTTCTTGGTGACACCTTTAGGCATTTCTATATGTAAGATCAGGCCATCTGCAAACAGGGACAAGTTGACTTCTTCCTTCCCAATTTGGATGCGCTTTGTTTCTTTTTCTTGCCTAATTGCTGCATAAGACTTCCGTTACTAGGCTGAAAAGACATCGTGAAACTGGGCATCCTTGTCTTGTTTCAGTTCTTAGACAAAAGGTTTTCAACCCTTTCTTCATTTGGTATGATACTAGCTGTGGGTTTTTCACATATTGGCCTTCATTGTGTTGAGGTACATTCCCTCTATATCTAATTTGTTGATTGTTTTTGCCATAAAGGGACGTTGAATTTTATCATTTATTTCTGCTCTGATCTTCATCATTTCTTTCCCTGCAGTACTTTTGGGTTTGGTTTGTTCTCGCTTTTCTAGTTCCTTGAGGTATGTCATTAGGTTGCTTATTTAAAATTTTTCTACTATTTTGACGTAGGCATTTATTGCTATAAACTTCCGTCTTAGAACTTCTTTTGCTGTATCCCATAGGTTTTGATATAAAATTGAAAACACAGTTGAGAGCTCTGGTAACAGACTAGATCATTAATTTCATTCATTAAAAATTCATTTTAATTATTCAGCTAACAGATTCATTTAGTTGTTTTTATGATATCTATTTCTATTGAATTTCTCATTCGGATCATAAAACGTTTTCCTAATTTCATTGAATTGTCTATTTGTATTCTCTTGTATCATGCTGAGTTTCCTTAAAATCATTATTTTAAATTACTTTTCAGGTATTTCATACATTTCATTTTTTTTTAGGTCTGTTACTAGAGAATTATGTCATGTTCTGTCCTTGCTCTTTTTTTTTTTTTTTTTGAGATGGAGTGTCGCTCTGTTGCCCAGGCTGGAGTGTAGTGGCATGATCTTGGCTCACTGCAACCTCCGCCTCTCATGTTCAAGCAATTCTCCTGCCTCAGCCTCCTGAGTAGCTGGGACTATAGGCGCCCGCCACCATGCCCGGCTAATTTTTGTGTTTTTAGTAGAAATGGATTTCACCATATTGGTCAGGCTGGTCTCAAACTCCTAACCTCAGGTGATCCACCCACCTCAGCCTCCCAAAAGTGTTGGGATTACAGGCGTGAGCCACTGCGCCTGGCCTCCTTGCTCTTTCACGTTTCTTGTGTGACTGCATTGATATCTGCACATCTGGTGGGACAGTCACCTCTTCCAATTTTATGGAGGAGCTTTCATAGGAAAAGACTTTTTCTAGTAGATATATCCTATAGCGTGGGTTGGGTAGCATGCTTAGGTTTTGGTTCTGGGTGGGGGAGTAGTGTAGTCTCAGTGTCATTTCTTTGTCTGTAATCAATATCAGTGGTGTCTGCAACTGCCTCAGTGGCCTAGATTGTGAGCGTTTGTGGATACAATGGTGTAACTTTGCTGTGGATGGGGACCACCAGGCAGGCTGGTCTTCAGTCCCTGAAGGGTGAGTATGGCACACAGTGGCTCCACCTACAGGTGGTTCTTATGTACACTCAAGTTTGAGATGCACTGCTCTAGTGCCCTGAGAAGCTTGGGTGGCAAGGTGACAGTTTGGTCACTGGGAGCTGCCTTCCATTGTCCCCTGTAGCTTTGACTTACCTTTGTTGTAGAGGGTTCCATCAAAGTAGTAGCTCCCTGTATAGAAGCCAGTGGCGTGCTCAATGAGGTGCCGTGCCCATGTGTTCCCAGCTCCTGGGAAGCTTGACAAAGCCACAAACACCTTGGATTTGTTAGGCAGGAACCTCCTGTCTGTACAACGAGTGTCTGAAAGTCCAAAAGTCATCACGGGGTTGGTTACTCACTTCCATTATGACTCACCAATTCACCACTAAACTCCCTTAGAGGGACTGAAGAACGAAGACTCCCGTTTAATAGATGAGGGAACCAAGACCCAAAGCAGGGAAGAGATCTTCCAACTATACCTTAGCTGCACAGGTCTGTGGCTAGTCAGAGGAAGCCCCGTGATGAGGCCTCCAAGACGGCAGTGCAGGAGTGGGATGGGAATCAGACACCCTCTGGACCCTCGATTCCCATTCTGTCTCTATGACCACAGCCAAACTCTTGCTCCTAAGTTAGCACAGATACTTCCAGATTCTACCAGGGGAAGTGGGAGGGGATTGAGGCTATGCTGAGCAAAGTGACACACCCAGGGACTATCAACAGTAAACCAGAGCTGGACTAATGACAGGCAAGTCATTCGTTGTGTCTCATCCCCAGGGGTGCTACATGGAGCACATGAAATCACCAAGGGAAAGCCCCAAAACCTCCAGGGCCGTGCTGGGTCACAGAAGGCACTTGATAAAGGTGGTAACATCCCTCTTCACCTCCTCTTCTTTTCATCAGTTCCTAAGGTCAACAGGGGCAGACCTGATGCTCACACCAAGGAGGGTTCCCAGGTCCTGGAGGAACCAGTGGCCCCTGCAGCTCCTGGGGTCCCATTCTTCCCATACCTCCCAATCCTACCACCTTTCTATTGCTATCTCTCTGGGACCTGCCCCTCTCTGCTCATCCTCTTACCATTGTCATCCCCAGAGAGACTTAGATAAAAGGTCCAGTGTTTTTTAAAGTGAGTCCAGGATTCCACCTCTGTGGAGGGTGGAAACGTGACCCTCCCCGTTATCTCCACCACCCATCAAGATGCCAAGACCTTTACACAGACACCTGCCATACCTCATAGCTGTATGCTTGGCCATGACTGGCATCTCCCAACCCTGGAAGCTCTCCCCACCCCCCAGACCAAATGCCACTACCAGTCAGGGATGCAGAACCCACCTTGCACAGGCGTCTGGTAGACCTCACAGTATTCTGCCAGCTTCTGTGCCTCAGGGTCCTGGCCACATAGTGAGCTGTCCATGGCATCACGCAGGTTGAACTGGGGGGTAGGGTAAGCACAGTAGCATTCCCAGCCCCTGAGAATGGCCAAGGGGAACTCCTGCCAGGGAAAGATAAGAAGAGAAGCACATTGAGTGAATTTGAAGGTCCTGCTTCCCAGGGTTCAGGAATGGGATGAACATGGATGATGTACAGCCAGCTGTATAGAATCCACAGGGATGACCACCATCCTTCCACCACTACGCTCCGTGCCCAGTTCCGGAGAGACAAAGCTCAACAAGACGTGAGCTTCAAGTAGCTCAAGTAGCCCTTGTTCTTGTAAGCACAGCCCTACTTGGTTGGTTCCTTGACAAGTCAACAGTATGAGCAGCAATATGACTGAGAGGTGAGTGACGTGAAGAAAGCAGGGGACAGAGGCTGGAACCATGCTTTTGAGACTCCAAGGCATTTGTCAGGAGTGCCAGGGATAGAAAGGGCACTCTGGGCAGAGGCATCCATAGGAGTGGATGTCTGCATGGCACAGAACGGGGCAGATCAGCTGGTACAGGGCTGCCCAGGGCTCCATGTGTCACACCACTAATGAACAGACCCCGAGCCCGGAGAGAGGACTGAGATTCCCTCCGGCCCTCCTTGGCCAGCCACCTCCCTGGAAAGAGACCAAAACCACCTCTCATGCCAGATGCCCCAGTGCAGGGTGCAGAGATTCTCATATAGTCATCTTTCCAAAGACGGAAGGGGTGGAGAAGAACAGACTTTGTTCCCGCCCGAGATGCTCACCCCTAGGAGGACTCTTAAAAAATGGAGGGGGGCCCTGTCAGGGGTAGGAGAGAGGAGTCGTCTCACTCTGTGGGCCAGCCCAGCTCCTAGCAGTCTCTTAAGTGGGTCCTTGTTCCCCTTTGGGGAAGCCGCACCACAGCTTGAAGAGAGCTGGTGGCTGGCATCCTGAAGGTGTGAAAGTGAATTCCGGCTCACTTGCCAGGCACCCTTGAGCAAGGTGCCTAACCTCTTTGAATGTCATCACTGAAAAAAGTAATAAAATCTGCCTTGTAGGTTTATGGTGAGGACTAAATGAGACGGGTCCAAAGTGCCTAGCACTGGGCCTGCCATGTTGTACTTCCGGGAGGAAGAGGTCATGCTCGACCTCCTTAACCCTCTGGGCATCAGCTGTGTCTTGCTCAAAAATGTATCCACCCACCTCTCCCACATGTATGGGAAAGTCCTCGCTCTGCCCCAGGCACTAGCCCCTTTTCATCTCTTCCCTCTCTGCATCCTACAGTCGGAGATGCTAGGCCTTTGGGAGCGTAGAGAGATGAGAGAGTAATCTGCGAGTGTGTGTGCCAGGGAAGGAGGCAGTGGGTGGAGAAAGCTTCTCACTGCTAAGGGAAATGCTGCAGAAACCTTTTTATTTTTTGCCCGCAGCAAAAATCTCATAAATAAATAAGAAAAAGAAAATCAATAGCATTTTTTGAGCATGGCTAGGTAAAGCTGAGGATTTTGGCACTCATAAAAGACAACGGACTGAGTCCCACGCAAGCGAAGATGGCGCGGTGCCTGGGGCATTGGTGGGAGGACGGGTATCTTTGGAGGGAGTGGGGGAAATGCTGCTGGAGGTTGCCCCCCGCTGTCAGGCTGCTCTTGTAAGCACAGGCCACATGCTCCTGTAGGTGCCAAGCAGCCCCCAGGAAAGCCTCCCCCGCTCGCCTCATCCTTCTTCAAGCCGAGGAGGCACCTGCGCTGTGAGTAAGTATACAATGGACTATCGAACTTCAGTGGTACCTCCAACTAGACCCACCCTCACGAAAGTGAGAGCTGGGCCTTGACCCTCAATCTCCACACTGCTGGCTTTTCTAGAAGCAAGTTTTCCCGGTGATGTGAATTCGTGAAAAGCAACTTCAAGAATTGCCACAGCTTCATCCACCCTCTATCACAAAACCCTCATCCTGCCTCATTCCACACCAACACCTTCATCACAGCGGCAGCAGAAACAAGCAGCGCGGGTGTCCACAGTGCACAGCGGGCCGTCTGTGTCTCAGGCACCTCTGTCCACGCTGGCTGCTATGGGCTGAACTGTGTCCCCCAAATTCATATGTTGAAGTCCTAACCCCAGGGTCTCGGAATGGGACCTTATTTGGATGTAGGATCTTTTTTTTTTTTTTTTTCCTTTTTGAGACAGAGTCTCACTCTGTCGCTCAGGCTGGAGTGCTGTGGCGTGATCGCAGCTCACGGCAACTTCTGCCTCCCCAGCTCAAGCGATTCTCCTGTCTCAGCTTCCCAAGTAGCTAGGACTACAGGCACGCTCCACCACGCCCGGCTAATTTTTGTATTTTTAGTAGAGACGGGGTTTCACCATGTTGGCGAGTCTGGTCTTGAACTCCCGACCTCAGGTGATCCACCCGCCTCGGCCTCCCAAAGTGCTGGGATTCCAGAGATAATTAAGTTCAAATGAGGCCATCAGGGTGGGCTCTAATCCAGTATGACAAAGGCCCTTAGGAGAAGAGGGGGTTAGGACGCGGCCAACACAGACCAAGGGACAAGCACACAAGGGCACCGTAAGAGGGCTGCCATCTGCAAGCCAAGGAGAAAGGTCTCGGAAGAAACCAACCCTGCTGAGACTTTGATCTCAGACTTTCAGCTTCCAGACTGAGAAAATAAACGTCTGTTGTTTACGCTGCCCAGTCTGTGGCACTCTGTCACGGCAGCCACGCTGACCAACGCAGTAGCTTCCCTGCTGTTCCCTGACTTCTCCACTCATGATCCCACCTCAGGGCCTTCGCACTTGCTGTTCCCCCTGCCAGGAATGCCCTTCGCCCAGATACCCTCATAGCTCTCTCCCGCACTTCCTTCAAGTCGCTTTCTCCATGGGGCCTTCCCCGGCCACCCCCTTTTCAAGTTGCAAACTCCTCCCACCATCACCAACACATCCTATTCCCTCCCCATGCTTTCCAGTTTTGTGTAATAACCTATCTGATGACATGCTCTGATCCCAGGTGTACCATTCAACCAAGACAGGCAGCACATCCGTGACACCAGAGGCCCCTCTCCCCATTCACTGTCATCCTGCCCTCCCCAGGACAACCACTTTTCAGATTTCTATCGCCACGGATTCATTTTATCTATACTAAAACGTCATATAAATAGAATCACCCAGCACATGTTTTCGTGTGCCTGGCGTCTTTCATTCAGAAAAATATTTGTCAAATGCATCCATGTTGTTATCTGCGTCTGTGGATCATTCCTTTTTCACTGCTGTGTAGTATTCCATCCAAGGATGCACTGGTTTGTTGATTCATCCACTTGTGGATTGACATCTGGGCTGTTTCCAGTCTTTAGTTATTGTGAATGTGCTCCTCCGAACATTCTTGTGCACGCCTTTCAGTCCATAAATGTTTGCATTTCTCATGAGTAAACACCTACAATTCCTACTTCCTTTTCCTCCACGACATGGATCACCATACAACATACTATATAATTTACTTATTTACCTGGTTGGTTGTTGGCCTCTTTCCACAAGAACATAAGCAGGGTTGTTGTGTTTTTTGTGTGCTTTGTTCTATTCTCAGAATCTGGAAAAGTGCCTTGCACGTGGCAGATGCTCAAGAAATGTTTGATGAAGAAATGAATGAATGAATGAATGAATGAATGAATGAATGAATGAAGAAAGAAATGAATGTCCCTTCCAAATCCCAACCACACCAGAAGCTGCTGGAAACTAACTTGGGTCTGATTTTTCTGCTGGTCATTGGGTTAACTGCACCACAGGCATGAGGGAGAAGAAAGCCCGCCGTCTCTAAGCAAATCTTCCCCACATCAGAAAGCCCAGAGGGGGCTCTGCTGTCCTGGGATTCCTGTTCCGAGGAAAAAAAATTTCACCAGCATATGGTAAATCTACTCAAGGCACGTTGGCTCCATCTCCCTCCCCAGCAGTAACAGCACCGCTGACGTTGATGCCTCGCAATCTTATATCCCAGGGCTGGAGAATGGGCTGCCCCCAGCAGTGACCCGAACCTTTTTGCTTCCTTGAGTGGATTAAACTGTCAAGTTTCCGGGTGTTTGCAGAGCGACGGGAGAGCTGCAGACAGTAATGTGGTTTTATTTACAACATCACCGCTTCAGCAATATCACTGGATTCTGAAAACACAGAACAATTTTCAGCCCCTTGGGGATTTCTAGGACATGATTTCCATAAAAATTAAATATTGATGAATCTTATCTCTCTGCCAACTTCCCTGCTCCCCCCACCCTACCCTACGCTTCAGTGAGAGAGAGAAAGGGCGCTTCAGTGAGAGAAAGAAGAGGAAAAAAGGATCCAAGAATGCAAGGCAGAAAAAGAAAGTGAGAAGATAGATGTGGGATTGTTTCAGACAGGTGAGGGGTGAAAGAAAGACCTGGCTCAGCCTGTGTCCGAGGGCAGAAAGGAAACCATCCTCATCCTGATCCTGCCTCTACAGCCTGAGCCTGGCTCGGTCTGAACGCAGGGCTAGTGCTGGGCTGGGCTGAGGTACGGGTGGGCACTCAGCCTGCAGCAAGGTCATGACTTAGCAAGGGCAGGGCTCGGGGGCTGGCCGGGATCCACATGCAGGAGGCTTGGTCAAGGAGTGAACCTTCCTCCAGGTAAGAGGTAAGAAGCAAGGCCCCAGGCGGGACCCCTGTAGCAAACCGGCCCCTCTGGGCATCATCTCCTCCATGTCATTCCTCTTCTAGCACTTTTCTCAGGATCGCCAGGATTACACAGAATGACAGAGATTTCAGGGATCACAGAAGGGGGAACAGAAGCTGGGAGGTAGGCAGTGAAGAGCCCAGGATGCCCAGCGTGCCAGGTGAGTGGGAAAAGGAGCCAGCCTTCTGGACTCCGAGTCCAGGGCCTTGCCACATCAACACAGCTCAACTCCTGAGAGGCAAACACATGGATGCACTGGGTTTCCAGTGAAATCTGCAAACCAGTGCGGAGGTTAGCTCTGCCAGTCTCTTGCCTCCAGAGCAGTTCCCTTCACTCCAGAGGCAGGTCTGGATATTCAAGGTACAGAAAGGAAAAGGGACAAAAAGGAAAGAAGACACCTGCAAAGATGACTTCAAGGATTGGGGACAAAGGGGGCGGACTTT